AGGTCGGGGTAGGGCGAAAGCCCCGTGAACCAAACACCAGGGCCTGGAGGTGCGCGCGCAGGACTAGTCGACGGGGTCTCGACAGGTCTAGCGCGCTAGCCGGGCCCACCCGGAGGAGGCGCCGGAGGTGGACTAGTGTCCGCCACCGTGCTGTCTATCGAGGAGGGGCCGCGAGGGATGTGGGAAGGGTACTGGTTTATCCTGCTCTCCTGCAGCTCTCGTGGTCGGACGTGCGGATTCGCGGAAGCGGACTGTCGCCGGCTGGGTCGCGAAAGATTGCGAAAGTGTTCCCGTGACCCGGCCATATGGCGAGGTGGAGGGCCTGAGGGGTTTTAGTAGGTATGGCCGAACGACTGTAGGCCAGTCGTTAAAAAAGGGGGGGGGGGCATTGCCTTGATAACGGCTTCCATGCGATCTTTCATGGGCCTTACAAGGGTCGCAACAACCTCTTGGGGTATTTGTTCCCACTCTTCAAGTACCGCATCTTGGAGCTCTTGAAGAGTGGTCGGAGCTGGATCTCGAGCTCGCACGCGCCGATTTAGGTCATTCCAGAGATGTTCTATTGGGATAAGGTCTGCACTTCGTGCTGGCCAATGCATAACAGGGATATCCACCTCCTGTAAATAATCCCGTACAATAGCCGCGGTGTGGCAACGAGCATTATCATGCATTAACATGAATCCATCACCCACATAACCAGCATACGGGACCACATGTTCCTACAGAATTTCTGTAATGTACCGACCAGTATTTAATACCCTTGCCCACGGCCACCCCGAGTCCGGGAAACGCACACAAGTTCCGTTTTCCCGTCGACGGAAATGCCGCCCCAAAACTTACACGACCCACCCCCGTATTCGACGGATTCTTCGAAGCAGGGTTGTGTGAACCTCTCCCCCTGTCTTCTGTAGACCCATTCTACGTCTGTCATTGCAGAACAGACAGACTCTCGTCTCATCAGAGAAGAGTACGGTCCGCCGCTGTTCTAGAGTCCACTCGCAATGATTGCGAGCAAACTCTAGGCGATCTCTGCGATGCTGTGCAGTAAGTTTTGGACCTTTAGCAGGTCTATGGGCTGTTAAACTCTTTTCGTGTAACCTTCTTCTTATCGTAGAAACACTCACAAATGTTCTTCGAGTTGATCGAAGCTGTTGTTGCAACTCGACAGCATTTGGAAAACGGTTTCGTAAAGATGTCGCAACGATGAAACGGTCATCTCTTTCTGATGTGCACCGTTTTCTTCCAGATCCCGGTTTTCTAACATAACCACCAGTCTGCTGAAAACGTTGGAACACCCGTCGAACTGAAAAACGGGACAGGTTCAACTGTCGAGCAACGTCACACTGCCGCATCCCCGACTGCAATAGGGCAATCACTTGAGCGGCTTCTTCAGAGCTGGTGTCCATCTTTACTTTTTCTTACTAGGGTTAATTGTTCACGTAACTAGCGTCTTTACTAACGAGCATTTGCCAGTGTTTATTTTTGACGCTCTATAATAATAATATGTTAAATAAATGTTCTAATGATTTCATGATTTTATTATTAATAACGTAAAGCTATTATATTATAAATAGCCCATTTCAAACATAACAATATTTATATAAATATAATTCGTTTCTAGCCATAACAGCCATTTTTCGCGCAAACTCAGAGAGGTGCGATTTTGTGACGCTGAGTGTAGTTCTTTCTCAGCTGTCAAGTTTGACAGACATAGGACATGTGCAAAAAATTGTAATAAGTTATTAAATAGTGTTATAAACCTAAATAAAAGCATTAAAATGAAGTACATGTATATATAATATAATTAGCGCTACTTTGACATGCGGAAATGTTAGTTTCCCCGCGAGCTCCCGCACCGCGATATCTACGAGTATTGAGGAACAGTTC